ATCAACATATGAAATTATATCATCTACACGGTAAGTCATTTACTTCCATTAAGTAGGATTTTTTTTTCTAGTAAAATGAGTTAAAATTCAATATCATGATATCAATTTGCTTTGTATAAACTTTGTCAAACAATTTTCACTTGAAAATAATTATAAAGAAAAAAGTTGGAAAGTCGATAAATGATAGTTTTTTTTTTCTTTTTCTACATTCTTTATTCAAGAATTATTCTTCTTTATTTGGACAGAATTTCTTGAATGGTTAATGATGAATCTAAATTAAGCATTTGCAGTTTCCAGAAAGTCTGGGATAAGCTGCAAACAATAAGCCGGAAAACGGATCAAACAAATATTTTGGCATAAAAAGCTAAACGTATTATTGAGAAAAAAATTGGCGTAATTACAAAAATTTGATAGTGTGCAACATTTGCAATCAAGTAAATCTCCTATATGTTTTGATTTTATTTTTCTGACACACACATTTCAATTTCAGGTGCCAAAAGATGAAGATTCTAAGATAAGTTGTGTCCATAAATGCGTGCATTCAAATGTCTTTGCAGATCATTGTTTACTTAAAAAAAGTCAGCACAGATATTTGAAGCATTGTCGACTGTGTAAGACTGCAGTATTTGTTTGGCAAGTATGATGTTCTAGACAAGAATATGAAGTGTATGAGTGGTCAAATTTCATTCTGATTACTCAGTGTTTGAACTGATCGCTATGAAGTCAGTATATGTAAATGAAGAAAAAATGCAAATGAACAAAAAGTCTCTTAAATTTTCATGTTATTCATTTCTATCTTGTAGCTAGTAGCGGATTTTTTTTTTAATTTATATATTTAAAAGCTAATATATTACCCAAATTAGAGGTAATTGTGGACGAAAACGAAAGATTGTGCCTGTTCTTGGACGAAATACATTTTCTAGTAATTTCTGTTTCTATTCTTTTCTCTGCCCTACTTCTGACTGTTACGGTGATGTCATGATGCGACAATGAAAGTAAATGGCGGAAATATCAGTGCGAGCAGCTGAGACAACAATCAGTGGAAATGATAGTAGTACGAGAGGGTATTCCAGCATTCAAATAGATGAGTTAACTAATGGCTGGGAACGAGTCTCTGAAGGACCTTCCCCATCACAGGCGACTTCAAAGAAGCGAAAAGAACTAGCAGACCATAACGACATTGCTCATGCAACACCTCTTACTGCAGTACTTTTGAAGCAACGAAGACGAAATAAGGGAAGAAAGTGAACAAAGCAAGAGAAGCTTGTTGCAGAACGAGTTTGAAACGAAAGATAAGAATGCTGTGTGGTCGTACAATCAGGATATCAAAAGTCCGAGAAGAAAATGGAGGATGAACAGAGAAAAATCGCATCTGGAATCATAGTGGAAAACAATGGGAAAACAGATGAGGTTTGAAAAACTCCGTGAAGGATTGAGAGAGCACTCTGCCAGCTTACCGGAACCGAGAGCCAGTAGTATGTTTACGCTTGAAGTTATCATTTGAGAAATCGAAGTTCTGCAGAGCAGCTGGCCAGGAAAAGTGCTGAAGGTGATTCTTGACCGTTTCGGGAGGATGCCGAAAAGGGGATGGCCTTTGTATCATTGGCCCTTGTACCCTGTATTGCGAGAAGTTTGTGTGCGCAATTATCCTTGAAGCTGCAATCATCAGTATTGCAGGACGTCGGTGTTCGCAGAAACGGTTCTTGAAGGAGTCAACGAAACGTATCAAAACACAAGATACGTACTTCGAGCAAAACACGCTGCACGAGTCCAAGGTGTATCTAGATGTAAAAGGGAATTATTTAATGCTAATACAACGAGCACAAGGATGTGAGATAGACTAAGTGGACGCGGAAAATAATCTCGGAGTAAGTTGATCAGCTTACACTTGGAGCGGTAAAGCAAGCGGTCACACAGAGCCCCCTACAAGTCAATAAGTGATCTTGCAAGGCAATTTCAGATGCCACAACCATGCCAAGAAGAGATGACAAGGCGTGAAAAGAAGCCGTCGATGTGGATGGCAAATATAGATTAGAAGATAAGTGAAAATCACTTCCAGAAAACACTTGTAGAGTGGTACTAATGATAACTATGAAATTTGTGGGAGTAATATTAAAAATTTTTGAAATAAAGTTCGATCAAATAGTAAAATATGAATTATTATTATTTGGTTCATAAATAAAACTAAAAAGAGTTTCAAACAAAGTCAATTTTTGTTCCCAATGTCATAAAGTCAAGCTTGAAACTAGAATATTTAGTAGTTGAATATTAGATAACAAATGTTAACTCACTTTTAACTTTAAGAAAAGAAGTATTCAGTCACGTAGTATTTATTGGTGATTCTCAAACAGTAGTAACAAAAAATTTCTAAACGTAATGAATAAGTTTTAAAAATTGCTTCATTATTCGAAATTTGTTGCCAAAGTGTCTGATCAATTAACATGAAATGAATCTGTAAATAAATCAAGCAAATAAAAGTTAAATACAAAGGTGAAAATACACGAACAAGTTTTCGGTTTACAATTGCTCTTAATTTAAATCATTTAATAGTGTTATTTCTGAGCAGGCAAAAAATAACAATTTGTATTTGGTTATTTATCAAAAATTATCTAACTAGTAATTTGCATATTCAATGGAAAATGCATAAATACACATTTTTTTAAAAATTCATTCATAAATAATAATGCTAACACACTTGATGGCTGCAGCGATAGTGCTAGCGACATGTATTTATCTTTATGTAAAATTTTCAGATGGAAAAAAAGTAATCATTATTTCATATTTAACTTAAAATATCAGTGTTTTATGCAAACAAATATTCCCATCACAAATTGATATCAAGTATTTTGATATGATTCGATGATAAATTTGTTTCAAAATAAATTTTCAGATCATTTTTAATCTTTTTGTTTTTGTAATAATTCATAAGTTTTTAATCAAAAGTATTATAATTTTGATGGAAACAAATTTTGATAAAGTGTTTTGGAAGATATGCAAGAATCTTTGTATTCAGTATTGTTTGATGTATGCAAATTATTGGCTCTCTTATCAAATACAATTTTGAGTATTAAACGGAATCATAATTTGATTTCAGCTAGTAACCACAAAAACTGATAAAAAAAACGATGCAGATGAAATGATAGCGCCAATAACACCAGGCTTAAATTTTTATACTTTAAATTTTATTAAATTTTTTAAGCATTTCTTTAAATTTATTCTTTATAACTTCATTCTACTGATTCTTATGAAAAGTAGACTAGAAAAAAAATAAGCAAACAAACTTTAATCAATTTTAGTAAACAATAATTTTTATTTTAAAAATGAATTTGATCAGTTAACTTTTGCAGTTAGTGATGATTCTCGTTTGGCTGAAAAACGATCAAGACTTTGAGATACAAATGCCTGTATAGTAACTGAAGTTATCTCTGATGGACTGAAAAAACGAAATGTTTCAATTTATTATCAATTTATCTTTGCATTTGCACTGATAAGTAATATAATGTATAAAATTTAATATAATAAAGTTTATATTAAAAAATTAGCTAATTATTAACTGAATAAATAATGCAAGCAAGTTATGGTCAGTTTTTCAATACATTTACTATACTTTTTTTACAAATTAAAAACGACAAATTTTAGTAGGATGCAAAAATAATTTGAATGTTGAAAAGGTAAATCAACAATAAATAAATTATGTAACTTTTTGGCATTTAAAATATAAAACCCTTTTTTTGCCTGAAAACAGCATTTTGAAAATTTTAAATTTATCAGTAAAGAATAAATATTTAAAATCAGTAGATAGACATTTTAATATTGAATATTTAAATTTTTTTCTTTTCTCGATATAGCTGGTATTTTCTTGCTTGTAACTTTGCAATGATCTTCTAGCTAATTTTTTAACAGTATTTCTTCACCTCCGGTAATATTATATTATGGTAATAATTTGGCTTAACATGAAAAAATATGATAAAAATTGTATTTTTAATAGTGAGTAAATGATAATTTGTGTTGAAAAGTTTAATTGTTGAAATTACTGATTTTTAAATTTTGTTACACAGATATAAATTACAGACTTTCATCTTCATTTTTCTTCAACTAATTACATTTGCAATAATATATTAGGTAATAAAATTAGATTATACAGAAATTTTTAAACCTTTAAACTTTAATCTTATCATTTTCGTGATACACTGATATAAAAAGAAAATAGTAAATATTAATTGCTTAAGGTTAAAATGTATTCACTGCGCGAAAAATTTATTATTATATTATATTGGAGTTTAAATGTTAAGAATGAAAGGAATCTCTTAACATTTAGTGTAATAATTTTTGGCATTAGTTTGTTACAATTCTCGGAAATGATTATAAATTTTAGTAATTTTCAACAATTGAAAATTCAAAAAAAGATTTTCTTTTTTGTACATATCATAATGTTTGCATGCAATGAGTTTGTTTAAATATATTTTGAAACAATGTCAAATATTGTTTTTTCAATTATTTTTGAATTCATTTTATTAAATTTTTCTATGTAATTGCACAATGCCTCAAAAGTAAACAGAATTTGTAAGCAAAAAAGAAAAACAATAATTTTAGTAAGTTATTTAACAAAATATTGTAAGATATAAAGTTGAAAGTTAAGTTAATATTGAGCACATAATAATAATAATGACCCATTTGTATGCATGCACCTTTTAACCGGTTTGTTATTATTCAATTTTCAAACAATTTGTGTTAGTTCTTGTTTTATTATAACACTTTTACAACAATTTCATTGCCAATTTGTAACTTTTACTTTATCTGTTCCTTTCATTTGTAAGGAACTCATAGAATGTTGTAAAATTGCCTTTTTAATCGCATTATAAAACGGCAAACCAGACTTTACATGTGCTGAATATTTTAATAATGGTAATGATCTGTCCAATGCATATTCGGTTTGATACATTTAACACATTTGCTTCACATTGATCTTCATATAATGCAAATTTTTCGCTTATTTTACAATATTTTTTTGAGTAAAATTAATACAACGTTATTATTTATCAACACATATAAGGCTGCTTTATGCTTGTTATATTTTTTATCAAATATCAGTATTGTTAAAATTCTTATTTCTCTTTTGATTTATTTTCAAATTTAAAAATGATGAAAATTCATTTTTGTAATCTTAATTAAATTAGCATTTTCCAAAGTAATATGTTAGGAAGTAGCAACATTTTCTTCTGTCAAATTTTTTATTTGTTTTCCAATGACTACTTTGAATATATAGACTTACTGTTTTTCACTTGTGATTCCAATGTAATCCATAAAATCAAAAGTTATCTTTTTGGACTATATATGTATATAATTTTTAATGACAAAATTTACAACTTCACAACACAAAGTATAGCATAATTTTTAATTTGAAAAGTTTGAAGGCTCAAGATTTTAGTATTCAATTTAAAAATTTCATTATTCTATAAAGATTATACAATATGTAATGAAACATTACCACACAATTGTATTTATATCAAAATTATGACAAAATTTTTGAAAGCATACAAATTTCCATGCATTATTTAAAAAGTTATGACAATTAATAAAAATCAAATAATTTAAATAACAAAATTAATAATTGAAAATGAAATGAAACTACCTTAGTCAATACTTAATAAAATATTGCTGTCATAAGTGATAACTGAAAATTCGGACGCACGAGAAATTACCAAAAATTTCTTTCCACTATTAAATGATACATATGCATATACGTTTACACATATTCACACGTGCAAACGGATTTATTTGCACCTTAACGTAAACTCTTTTCTTCAATAATAAGCACTCCTTTGTTTTATAATAAACAGGAGATATTAATTAAAAAGATTTATTAGTATAACGTAAATTAGTTTGAAATCGTAATAACTTTTATTTTTTTATCAGAAATCTTTTACTTCGAAAATTACTTTCCTTGTAACTTTTGATAGATTTCAAATAGTTTTCTGTGGATTTGCAGAAAATTTTTGAAAAAAGTTTTTTTTTTCAAGAAACTTCCATGTAACTACTTTTTATAAAATTAAACTTATTTCATATAACTTAATCTGAATTAATCAGAATTGGAATGCGTGATAATAAAGTGGTCAAAAGTCAGCTATAAACTATAGTGAAATAAAACAAAATTAATTTTATTTCACTGAAAAACTTTAACTAAAAAGCATTATGACATTAAAATGAATCATTGATTGATTCTATTACTTCAATATGCTTAAGTTTAT